TCTGAGTTTTCAACCCAAAAACAGGGACAAAATTTAAGCACAGCTACATCAAAGGAAATCCATTTAAGACATTTTGGTTCAAGTGGGCAACAGATTGTTGTTCCAAGGACAAAATTAGAATACCCAGAGAAAATGATGGACTTTCTTTGGAAAGATTATTACTCCAAATCATATTTATAATTAAAAAGCAAAGAGTTTAAGGTTTCCTTTTGCACTAAGAATTTCGAGTACAGGTTGTTTGCATTGTCAGCAATTGCCAATCTTCATGCTTTGACAACAGAGTGAGTTTATTGGTTTCCCTTCCTGCATATTAATATTAGTTATACCCATAATTATTATTGGAAAATAGGTCACTAAGACTATTCAGATCATTGAATTGTGAAAGTTAGAAGGAACCAAAAATTTCAATGTCAAAAGCATATACTTTATGATGACAAAAATTTACCTATGATGAAAACAAATTAACCTACCTCAAAATAAGACATAAAGAAGAAAAAAGATGATTTTTTAAATATCATTGGATGCATATGGATAAAGCATCACCAAAAAGTCATATTTGTATTGTATGAAACAGTGGATAATTAATTTCAAAATGATTTTCCTTGAATGTGAAGACAAATACATATTGTCATTCAATCAGAACTAAAAAAAGCAAGAAGCTGTAAATTCTATTTTTAATTTAGTGAACAATACTTTATTAATATTTATTAAATCTGAGTCCAGATTTGTAACTTATGTTGTATAGTGTTAATGTGAAGAGAGAAACTTATATGTTAGATAAGTAAACAATTTATTCTACAAATTGAGGCACATTTGAAAGTGAATTGAATTACTACTAATATGAAAACTTAAAAAAAGACACTAATCTCAGCAAATTGGAATATGTGGTCGGAACCCCTGTGGCTGGCAATCCCACAGCTCGCAACACAGTAGCTACTCCCCACTAACCAGCTCTCTCTTCAAGCTACTTAGTCAGGATTCTGCTGGGTGCTGGACTAACAGGATCAGCATGGCTCCTCTTTCCCTGAAGATAAAAATCGGAAGGACCAAGACTTCTTTACACACAGAATTTCAGACCCTTTCATATCCAAAACTAAGAATAATTCAGCACTCTAAGAGCTATAACAATATCAACTAAGTTGTCCCTCCCTTATTTTGAAATCAGATAAGTAAAGTCATTAATGAAATCCCCAATCATGGTTAGTCTATCAGTCTGTAAACTGTTTTCAAGCTTGCTAACTCATATTAGAAAGAATTGAAGACTGCTCAGTTAGTAGCAAAAACATTTTTTGGTTTACTTATTAGCCTATTTATCCTCTAGTTCCTCAAATATAGGAACTATACAGTTTTATTTTTATAAAATAAAACTTTTATTTTTTTGTATAAAAATAAAACTTGTATTTTTTTGTATAAAAATAAAACTTTTATAAAATAAAACTTGTATTTTTTTTGTATAAAAATATACAGTTTTATTTTTATTTTTTCATCATCGTCTGCTGAATTTTTTGACTAGAAGCAAATGTTCCCTTCTCCCATAATTCAATTTTAACAGCAGAATAATAAATAACTTTTAGAAATATTTATAAGTAATATACTTCAGAGTATAACAACTTTTATCTCAGTGCTCCTATTTCTTTAGCAAAAACTTTAAGTGCTCTATAAGTTAACCTACTTCATCATCATCACACACCTATGCATTAAAAGTTATTAGCTTCATTTTTCACAGACAGAAACTGAGGTACAAATAAACTGAAGGTCACTTAGCTGTGCTGTGTAGAGCTGCCCTTTGCACCCAGGCCACCTGGCTCTAAGATCTGTGCTCCCATCATTGGGCTTTCCTGTCTCTTGTGTGCTCTTCAGTATATTTGTCTGTAACTAGTTTAAATAACCTGAGGATCTAATTTTCAGAAATTAGAAAACTAAGGCTGAGTGTTGGAATGTTTTTTCAGGTCCAAGGTGATTGTGTGAAAACAGAATTAAAATTGTTATTTTTTTCTCTGTTCCTGAGTGCCTTACTACTCTAACCTACTACTGTAGTGTGACAAATCTGGTCACATTTTCCAGTTACAGAGTAACATATATTCAGTTATTTGTTATACATGTAAGTGCACAGGTTGGTATGTCAAGACAATGTTAAACTACAGTGATAATAATAAAGTCTTTAATCTTGGTTTTCTACATCCTTTATTTTCTTAGAAAATCATTGTATTGATGTTTTCAAAAATATTACATAAAGTTATAAATTAATCCCTTTATTATTATTTTACAATTGTTCTTACAGTTTTATTCCTTCTATCTTTCTGGACCTGTGAGTAATAAATGTTTCTCTAATGCTTTCCATTGTACTGCCTACTCTACAAATAGTTTAGTATTATTTTTATTTTACTGAAAATATTCCAGCATTTATCAGTTTTTATGCTTTTTATTGTCTTGTGTATTAATGACTTTATTTTTTTAGTATCTCCCACTTAAATACTTGCTCATTTCTTTTCTGTAAACATTTAACATCAGCACTAAAAGAGTCATATGAATATTAGCCAAGCTTTCCCTCTCTTATTTTGGAGACAGTTAAGTAAAGGCATTAATGAAATTCCCAAATCACAGTCCATCCATGCTGTAAACTTTTTTCAAGTCTGTTGTCTCATAGTTTAATGAATAATTGAAGACTGCACCCAAAGCTTTGTGCTACTCTTTATGCTACTGCAGCCCATCTTAAAACAAGTCTTCCCTTGACTGTGAAATAGGCACAGCATATGTATGTGTGTGTGTGTGTGTGTGTGTGTGTGTGTGTGTGTGTGTGTGTGTGTGTGTGTGTAGGGGGTACTTGTGGGTGGTGGGGAGAGGGTGAATGAAAATTAAAGTGAGGGAATATGGTTGATGGACTTCATATATTTATATAATGTAGAACAAAGAAACCACTTGCAATAGTTTTAAGTGGGGCAGGGAGGGGGTTAAAAAGAGGAGAGATGGTAGGGGTGATCTACCAATAATGTACAAGCCTATATGGATTTTTCACAATGAATCCTCTTGTACAATGAGTATATTCTAATAAAAAATTAATGGCAAAAAAATGAAAAAATAATAAAACAAGTCTTTCTATTCATCCTACTCTCTCCTTCACTTTCCACAGCCTGCCCAGTTGGCCTTCTTTCTCTCTTAACACAGCAATCTAATTTTTGCTCAGTGTCTTTCCAATCCTTTCCACCACAATGAACTGTTTTTGTGGCCACTTCCCTCTCATTATACAGGTCTCCTTTCAAATGCTAACCTCTCCACCTGTCCCCTACTTTACTCAAGCACATTCCAGTGTCTTTCCTCTATTTTCTTCATAGTAGCTATCACCATTTGATATGATATTTTAACTTGTTGGATTGCATGTTTATTGTCAGTGTCCCAAACCAAACTTTAAGGTATATTAAAAGAATATGTGCCTGCTTGTTTACTGCTGTATTGCCAACACCCAGTACAATGGCTAGCATTTACAAAGAGAATAATTAATTTCTCCCTGGTACTAATGATTATTTATTAAAGTATATTTTAATTTCCAAATGATTTCTATATTTTGCTCATTAATTTAGTTAATAATTTAAGTTTTTCATTCAATATTTTTATTAATTTTTAAAATACTAAATTTAATACTCAAACATGGTCTTGGAATTTCTTTTAATATTTAAAATAAACTTATTTGCTTTTTTTATTAAACATATATGTTGAGCATCTCTATATATTAGGATTTACATTAATAAAAACTAAGGTGGGAGCTGGGAAGGAATGTGGAAAGTTTGATCAATGGGTACTAAATATTGGATAGATAGGAGCAAGAAGTTCCAGTGTGCAATTACATGGTAGAGTGATGATAGATAATGAAAATGTATTGCATATTTCAAAAAACTAGGAGAAAGGATCTTGAATGTTTTCAGTATTAGAAGTAATAAATGTTTGAGGAGATAGGTGTAACCTGATCCGAACATTATACAATGTATACATGTATCAAAACATCATGTCTTCCCCACTAGCATGTACATCATAATGTTTTTTATGTATCAGTTAAAATTTTTTAAATTAAAAAACAAATGCTTTTGTCTTTACTTCCTTTAATAGTTCTATAGTTTACTATTACAATATTGCAAAAATAGAATTCTTTTACATCCTCTCACAAACTACAGGATGCCCTATAAGCATTAAATTGTAACTTATAAGGCCAAGTGGCATAGGTCAACTTGCAGTTGTCAAACAGGTGAAGTCATAGAATTGGAGGGCAAACCAACAAAGTAACTTTTACCTTTGCCTATTTATTTTCTATGTTAAAATCAATGGAGTGAGGACCAACTTTATTATCTCTAGTTCAATGTCATGATATGGCACTGTTCAGCCTTCTTTCTGGCATTTCTGCCTTTGAACTAGGGAATGGAGGAAAACACTCCAGTGTGAGCACAGGTCTCTAGATTCCTCACACTCATAAAAAATGAAACTGTAAAAAGATCCATTATCTTTCCTGTCTGAATCTTAACCTCAGTCAGCCTTTTCTGACAGCTGTTAATAGGAATCAAAGTGCTTCTGTGTATCTCACCCACCCCATCCTAGAAATATCCCTCAAGTAAAAGAAGGTGTTATCATCCTTAAAACTTCTGTTACTTTCCAAGCTTCTTCACCAATTTTTCTGAAAAGAGAAAAAGAACTAGAGTTCAGTATCATACTTCAATCTGATGTACCTACTATACGTCCATCAGAACTTTTGAACAAATTTGAGTTCCGTGATTGAATCATTTCTTGCTGAGGTGTATTTTCCTCTAGGTTTATTAAATTTATATAGTTCTGCTTCTGACAGAGGTTTTAGAGATCTGTTTTTATGATACCATCTAGATCTCAATCCTCTTACCTTTAAACAAAGATAGGCCAGTAATACTCACTGAATATGGATATTCCACTTTTCATAGACAATTTACAAGCTTGATTCCTAATGAAAATGTATCAATTTATTGAGTAATGTTCCAACTTACCTGTGCTATATTTATTGCATTTTGAATTCGTGTATCTTTCTCATAGTCCTTTGTTTTTTGTAATGTTTGCCATATCATGTTTCTAAGTCCATACTGTTCCTCATCACCCTGAAGTTCCCATGACATTTTTACCAGATTATACACTAAACCATAGTATCCAATCCAGACCACTTGATCACCTGTTTAGAAAGAAACATTCATCTTAGTTGTTTTATCATATTAACCTGACTGAAACAGAGTTGAGTGAAAAAAAGTAACTCGATTTTACCTAAATTCATAATATTCTAAAATCTGAAATTCCAGCTTCTGAAATTTCTGAAAATTCTAACTTCTGAAATTTCACTGCTTTTATTCCTTTAATTTTAAAAGAACACAGATCATCTTAACACTTGTAACCACATGAAAAAACAAACTGCACCTGACCAACCTCATATGCTTAGACAAGTAAGCCACGAACCACATAGCAGAAACAAATTCTTAGAATTCAAGGAAAGAGGAATTTGTTTGAAGCAACATCAACAATTAGACCACCATACTGAATTCTTATAAGTCAGAAAAATCACTTGACACTGTTAAAAAAAAACACTGAACCTGGGCTGATGGAGAGGCTCAAGTGTCTAGCAAGTGCAAGTCCCTGAGTTCAAACCAAGTACTGCAAAAGAAAACAAAAACCTATGAAACATGGCATTTGAACCAAAACCAAAATCAAAACTTTTAAAATAATGTAAAAGGCAGACAAAAATTATTGATATTTTTTAAAACTTTTAAAATAATGTAAAAAGTAGATAAAAATCATTGATATTGTTACTGAGTCAAAACCAAAATCAAAACTTAAAATACTGCTAAAGACAGACAAAAATTATTGAAATCTAGATAGTGGCATAAAAAACTGGAAGTTTTTTTTTTTAACCTAATCCGGACATAAATCAATTAGGAAAAGAGTGACTAATGGAGAGGAGATAAAAAGTTCTAATACTCTGTTCCCTCTAAAAGTAATAGAGCGATTTATATAGTCAATCAAGTTCCACATTTAAGATATGTATTTCCATTGTGGAAGGAGGAAACAATTTCTATTTACCCTGTACCTTAAAGTTTTGCATAAACATGGTATTTTGCTATGCAGTAATACTTAGAAAAATATAATTCTGACTTACATATGGACAGGATAAATAAAGTTGAGAAATAAAATAATACAGTCTTTAAATGAGAAATAAACTTAAGTGGGCCAAAGATCAGTATGAAAATTCTGAGCCCATGTAAAGCAGAAAAGATGACAAAGAGAAAGAAAAGGCTCAGAAAGGAAGATGGAATTATTTAAAATCCCATCAAATTCCACATGGCACTATTCCTTAAAATCTTAGAGAAAGCCCATGTAACACTAGGAATTATCAATGCTGTCCTTGAATAAAGATCCTGAATTTTATCAGACCACAATGGAAAAAAAACTGGAAATCAACATCAAGAGAAACTACAGAACATATTCAAACACAGGGAAACTGAACAATGTGTTGCTAAATGATCAGTGGGAAATTGAAGAGATAAAGGAGAAAATTTAAAAATGCCTAGAACCAAATGAAAATGTAAACACAACTTCTAGACCCTTTGGGACACAGCAAAGGCAATACTAAGAAGATTATAGCTATGAGTGCCTATATTAAAAAATCAAAGAAATCTCAAAATTAAATAACCTAATAATAAAAAAGACTCTTATAAACACAAGAATAAGTCAAACCCCAAAACAGTGGATGGAAAGAAATAATAAGAATCAGAAATGGGAACTAAATGAATAACAAAAAGAGTCACTGAAACTAAATAGGAAATACTTACTATAGAAGAATGAATATGGAATTTTGAAACCTCTTGAAATCACTATAAGAAGGGGACTAAAATAGAAAGGAGAAAAATAAAGGGGAAAAATCAATTTGGGTTATAATATATATATATATGGAAGTATCACAATGAAACAACCTGCATAGCTATCTTAAACAAGTAAAAATATCACTTTTTGCTTTTACAAAAACTGAGAATGGGAAAGCAAAACAGCTCCTGTCTGGGAAGTAGGTATCAGTGGGAGGGGATAGGATAAAAAGAAAGGGTGTCAGAAGGTGAATACGGTAAAAATATTATGAACAATGTATGCAAAGGGAAAAATGTGACCTGTTGAAACTATTCCAGGAATAGGGGAGGAGAATAAATGAGAATGGTGGAGGGGGTGAATTCAACCATGACATATTGTAAGACATATTTATAAATGTCACAATGTACCCTCAGTACATCAACAAAAATAAATTTAAATAAATAAATAAAAGCTAGATTTTGAAAAAATAAATAATACTGACACACTTTTAGACAAAAAAAAAAAAAAAGAGTGGGGAGTCCAGGTTGGTAAAATTAGAGATAAGAAAGGGGATATCACAACAAATGCCAATGAAATTCAGATCATTAGAGAAGACTTAGAAAACTTATATTCTAATAAAGTGGAAAAACTAGAAGAAATGAATAAGTTTCTAGATGCATATGACCTACCAAAATTGAACCAAGAGAATATAACCTACATGAACAGGCTTATAAAAAGCCAAGAAACTGAAGCAGTAATAATCTCCCAACAAAGAAAATCCCAGACAGATTCACTGCTGAATTCTACCAAACCTTTGAAGAAGCTCACACACCAAAGTTCCTCAACTATTCCATAAAACAGAAAGGGAAGGAACCCTACTAAACTTCAGGGTGAAGTCAGTCTCACCCTGATACAAAACTCAGATAAAGACAATAAACAGATAAACACAATAAAAAAACAAAGTTGATAAACATATATGTAAAAATTCTCAATAAAATACTAATAAAATGAAAGCAGCAACACATGAAGAAGATAATACACCATGGCCAAGTCATTGAGGAATGAAAGGATGGTTCAACATACACAAATCAATACACATAGTATAGCATAAAAATAAATAATATCAAAGTCACAGACTCATCTTAACAGATACAGAAAAAACCTTTGAAAAATTCAACATCCTTTCATGATGAAAGCTCTAGGAGACTAGGAATAGAGTGAACATATTTCAAAATAATAAAAGACTATATACAATAAACTTACAGCCAATATTATACTAAATGGGGGAAAACCAAAAGCATTCCTCCAGAATCTGGAATGAGACTAGTGTGTCCATTCTGTCCACCCTTACTCACTATAGTGCTGGAATAGCAATAAGGCAAGAAAATGAAACAAAAGAAATACAAATAAGAAAGAGGAGTGAAATTGTTACTATTTGCAGATGGTATGATCCTATACGTAACAGACTCTAAAGACTCCGCCATAAAACTCTTACATCTAATAAACACTTTAGACAAAGTAATAAGATAAATAATCAGCATAACAATACCAGTAGCTTTTTTATGTGTTGACAATGATCATACTGACAAAGAAATCAGGAAAATAACCCTATTCACAGTAGCCCCCAAATAATTAAATACATAGGAAAAAACCCAACTGTGGAGGTGAAAGATCTCTATAATTAAAAGTGTAAAACATTGAAGAAGACATTAGAAGATGAAAAGACCTTCCATGTCCATGAATCAGCAGAATTACTATTGTGAAGATGGCCATACTATTGAAAGCAATCTACAGATTCAATACAGTCAACACCAAAATTCTAATGTCATTTTTCACAAAAGTAGAAAAATCAATCCTAAAATTCATTTGAAAGTATAAAAGACCCCAAATAACCAAAACATTCCTGAGCAAAAAGAGCAATGCTAGTGGTATCACAATACTGTACTTCAAATTATATTACAGAACTATAATAACAAAAACAGAATGGTATTAGCACAAAAAAAGATGTAGATCAATGGAAAAGAACAGAAGAATCAGAAATAATCCCACACAACTCCAGTCATCTGATTCTTAACAAACACGACAAAAGCATTCCATAGAGAAAAGAGTCTCTCTTAAATGAATGGAGCTGGGAATTGGCTAGGTTCATGTAGATGACTGAAACCAGATCCCTGCACAAAAGCAATTCAAAATGGATTGCAGACCTTAATGAAACCTTGAAACTGCTACAAGAAAGCGTAGCTGAAATTCTTAAACACAGCAATAGGGAAAAAAAGCAAGAATTGACAAATGGGAAAATGTCACATCGAGCTCCCATACACACATTTTACGATTAACACGTGCTAATAAAAATATAGAATGAAAAAATACTTATCTACTGATGCCCATTGCGACATAAAGAAATCTTCATTTCACATCATGTCTTATTTACTGGGAAGGGGTCTGTGTGAAATTTTCTGAGTTTGGGAAATGCTAAAATATTTTATTTTGGTGTTTAATCTTAGACTTTTATTCTGACATGGGCCACAGAACTCGTCTTAAGGAATATAAAAAACATGGCTTATTCCAGACACAGTGACTCGAGCCTATAATCCTAGCTATTTGGAAAACAGAGCAGGAGGATGCCGATTCGAAAAAGGCCAGGAGACCGCATCTCAACCAGTTGCAGGGCATGATGGTGCAGGTCTCTCATTCCAGCTATGCTAAGATGCATAAAATAGGAGGATTGCAGTACAAGCCTTCCCATCCTGCATTACAGGCAAAAAGTAAGACCTTATCTCCAAAACCAGATCCAAAAAGGCTAGAGGCATTACCCAAACAGTAGAATACCTGCCTATAAAGAGGAAAACCCTGAATACCACCAAAAAACAAAAACAACAACAAAAACCTGTGTTCAGATTTCAGGATGTTCATAAATCTGCCTCCTGCATTACCATTTTTTTTAAATCTACCTACTTATGTTTTTACTGTGTTTGGAGGAATGCTTTATCTTAGAAATAATTCATTACTCCTGGGGCACCATGGGCTTTGAAAGCCACACAATAGCAGTTCTATTTCAAATTCCCACATTTAGAATCTTAGGGGAAAACTGTCTGTTGCCTTTGGGGTTTATCAATGATTTCACCAAACTCAACCTTTGCTCCGCACACGTCCATCTTTCAAAAACTTACTATTTCAAATCTCTAAAAGTTGTTACCTCTAAGAAAACATCTCTTTAGTTGGACATCTTATGCAACATATCCCTTTTCAGTTCTCCTTTCTCATGTAGGATAAATGGCTTTTTGGAGTTTGGAATAAAGAATTATATCATATAGCATGCTTGTGAACATGTGAAGACCCTGA